GGAGGAAAGGGGATGCTTGTGGCAGGGAGGTTTATGGGCGCCACTGCTTGTGGCGCACTTAAACTRGGGATTCCATCCACCGAAAGGGGGATGGTGAACTGTCCAACGCACACCACGGGAACTTGAAGCTGTTCCCCGGTGGTGTTTGTCTCTGTGTCGCGTCCGGCGTTGCTGGAAGAAGCCATGAGCGTTGGGTTTTTTGAAGAAGAAAAAAAAAGGGGGTATAAGAGTTTGGAGGGAGGCTTTTTGAAGCGATTTCCCACAGACGACGCCAATTGATGATGCGCGATCTGGCCGGTCTTAGCTGTCAACGACCTTGCCTCTGAATTAAGTAACTGGGGACCTGAAATGGGGGAGATGAAGAAGCTCCAGGGAGAACCCAGTGTAGAGGCTCCGAAGCTCAAGTTAGAATCCTTCAAAGGCAAGATAAACTAGATAGCGCAAAGTTTGCATACCTTGTTCTTGGGGGGTAGGGAGCCTTTTATAACCACCTCGCGCACTCACTTCCAGGCTTCTGTCAGATCGGGCCTGACTATCTCTGAGTTCCTGCCAGTTTGGATGTCATCCCTTCTGGCTGGGCAGAACCGCCACTGCTCCTTTTGTCGGAGCTGTTTTTGCGGCTGGTGACGACGGTGGTAGGTGGCGGTGGCAGGAGGCCGTTTGAAGTGTGACTGTCAAGCGTCAGATCCCAAATCAGTCAGGTGCGCCACCCTTGGAAACAGACATCCTTGGTGTCAGGTATGGTACGCTTGGTTAGCCTGGCATTTTGGAGGCGAAGTGCTGGAGTAACGAGGGGGACAAAGTCTTGAGTTCGGTTTTGGGAGTGCTCCGATCTGCCATGGGCCAGCTTGGGTCACGGCCTTGTGAGGTTTAGGGCCCAGGAGAGAGTTCGGGCTCCTTGTAGGGAGCTCGGGTCCTTAGTAGCAAGTTCGGTCTCCTAGCAGGGAGCTCGGGTTCTTAGTAGGGAGCTCGGGCTCCTAGTAGGGAGCTCGTGCTCCTTTTTCTTTTGGTGCTTGTGTTTTGGGCGCTCTGTTGCCCCGAGTTGTTCGCTTTTGCCATGCTTCGAGTGATGGCGAGGTCGGGCCAAATTTCCCTTCACTAGTTATTAAAACCCACAATCTATTATCATCATTCAAACAAGTGGTTTTCTTATTTTCTAGAAATTTAGACACATGGCAATTTTTTGAGAAATTCGTACTAAAGTTCACAACCCACTACCAGGCTACAGCCCCCCACCATTCAGACACATGACCTTCTCATTTTCTCGAAAGCTAGATAAGTGGCATTTTCTAAAAAACTGTTGTTAAAGCCCCAACCCACTACCACCATTTTTAATCCATTTCTAAAAAATGCAAAAAATACAAAAATGGTTATTCACAATCACTTCTCCCTACATTCTATCAATCTAAACAAAAGAAAACTATCCATTATCTAATAATTATTGAAAAGTTATTTTTTGAAATTTTAATAATTATTTAAAATATTGATAAATATAAATTTAACATTATTGATTTCATAATGTAAATTTAACATTATTGGTCCCCCATACTTAGTACAGGATCTTTCACTAGTAAGATTAATAGTAAAAAATGGCATGGTATTGGGAAAACTTTAAAATGAAGCTTTTCCTCACAGTTCCCATTTCACACAAATGAAACTTCCTCCAATGTTTCAAAATAAAAGATTTAACAAACAATATTTCATACAAATGGCTTAGTTTGGAATGAATACAAATACAATATGTATAGTACAATTATATACAAAATACAAGGTTTTGCACTCTAAATATCTATACTCCTAAATTGAGCCTATGGCCGTATTTGTTTGCAATACAAACACAAATATATACTGTACATAAATACATTCTCTTCGATTCATGAATGCAAAATGGTTCATATATATATATATATAACATTTTTCCCTCTTAATCGTTTCAGTTTTGAATGACAAAGAAACGATCATAAATCTGAATCAGGGCACATAAAATACCCCAGTTTGACGTTTGTGTAACAAACACAACCTATGCAAAGATGAACCGATGCCACTTTCCAAATAAATGGCAGAGGAACCAAACACCATCCTAATGGATTAAACTTTTTTTATCGTGGTTTGTTCTAATGTTTTCAAAACTGAACCGGATAATCAAATCAGAAAATCAGGAACTTGTTACCTGACTGATTCTATTTTACCCCAAAATCACTATTTGGCCAAAAAACTGTTAATTTCGTCAATGAATCGATTTGCTGACCCAGAGAATGGTTTTTGACTGTTTTTTGGGTTTTTTATAATTTTTATTTATTTTGTCAAAACGGACTATTCATTCAAATCGGATGGTTAGACACGTTCGACCCAGCAACCTTGGCCTGTCTGGTTGACAGCCCGGCAGTGAGCAAATGTGTGATTTGGCTGCATTTGCTTGCCCAACCCTTATGTGGGGATAATTCTCCATGGTTTATGGTTTCTTCTGAGGCCCCTGTGAATTGTGATGTGACCTATGTGGCTACTAGAGCCTACGTGGATTCATGGAGGGCTGAGACTGCAAATTCTGATCATCGATCCTGTGCACAGTGCATTAGTGCAGTTGGCTCTACCACGGAATTTGAATAGCTTTTCACTTTGAAAATTCATGATGGGCAACAGCTGCAAGTAATTTGACAGTAGATAAAGCTGAGGAATTTGAATAGCATTTTTACTTTTTTACTTTTGAGGAGGATTAGGCATCTATTTATGGTAATTCTCCATCGAATTAGAATTGTGCCCTCACAGCAAAAATTGACCAAAAGGGAATTTTTGGACGAATTCTAGTTTCTGGTTCCTCGCATTTTCTTCCTCCTTTCAATCACTTTCACCGGCCTGAAAACCAAGAATTAAATCAGAATTGCCAAAACGAAATGGACATGGTAAGACTCGCTTACAAACAGCTTATTTGTATAAACAGATCTATTGATTTGTGTATGACAGATTCTGCCACGTAGAATCAGAATGGGATCCGGTTCCTCATGGATGCCATTTGGCCATTGGATACCAATCCTGTCTAGGACTGATCAGATGGTTAAAATAAAAAAAATCTCATCCAATGACCAGTGTTGATACGTGGAATACTAAAATTCAAATAATTTGTTAGATTCTTTTTTCCACCGTCTGATCGATGATGAACGAACCAAAGAAATTTCGCCCACTGTGCTAAGCAAACGAGCGGAGAGCCGATGAGCCAACTCGGCCAAATTCCTTCTTCTGAGCCAAGTTTGGCTTGGCGTTGGCGTGACTCACGGCACAAAGGCAATGGAATGGTGGTGTGGTGTTTGCCGACTTACGTCCCGTAGTCCGTCCGTACTCGACAGTCGACCCCTGCCCTGCGCGCATGTTCACAAATTCCAACGTGAAAAGGGAAAGAGTAAAAAGTAAAACAAAACCCACCCACAAACAAGCATACGAACCGGGTCTGCCGCCCCCGGTTCATCTCTCTCTCTCTCTCTCTCTCTCTCCTTGCGAAAATCTCTTCAATACCCATGGTTCTATGCAACAAAACCAAACTCACATCCTCTTTCTCTCTGTCTCGCTGACCTCCTTCTCTCTTGTCTCGAGAGGCAACAACAATGCTTCTGCTTTTTTTACTTCTTCTTTCTCCTTCTCTGGTTGTCTCTCTGAATCAGGAAGGTCTGTATCTTCAACAAGTCAAACTCGGCTTCGACGACCCGGATGGCGCCCTTTCCGACTGGAACGATAGACACGACACTCCCTGTGAATGGAGCGGCATCAAATGCGACTCAGAAACTCATTCAGTCACCTCAGTCGACCTCTCCAACGCCAACATCTTCGGTCCTTTCCCTACTATCATCTGCCGTCTCCCCAACCTGACTAACCTCTCCCTCTCCAACAACTCCATCAACTCCTCTCTCCCCGGTGACATCTCCGCCTGTCAGAAACTGCAGCATCTGGACCTCTCGGAGAACTACCTTGTGGGTCCAATCCCGTCCACGCTTGCTAACATTACAACTCTCCGTAGCCTCGTCCTGAGCGGAAACAATTTCTCCGGCGATATTCCGGAGAGCTTTGGACGATTCCAGAGACTTGAGGAGCTGGTTCTCATCGGGAATCTCCTCAATGGCACCATACCTTCAGTTCTTGTAAATATTTCCACTCTTAGAGTGCTTAATGTGGCTTACAACCCGTTTACACCCAGTCAAATTCCGTCAGACATCGGTAATTTGACAAACCTGGAAGTTCTCTGGCTTACTCAGTCTAATCTCGTGAGTCAGATTCCGGACTCCCTCGGTCAGCTTAAACGTCTAATAAACTTGGACTTGGCGGAGAACAATCTCGACGGTCCAATTCCGAAATCGATTACTGAGCTTTCGAGTATTGAACAAATAGAGCTTTATAGCAACTCCTTGTCAGGTTCCCTGCCGGAGGGGATGTCGAAGATGACCGCGTTACTTAGATTCGATGCCGCCATGAACCATTTGGAGGGAACGATTCCGGATGAGCTGTGTAGCTTGCCGCTCGAGTCACTGAATTTGTATGAGAACCGTTTGGTGGGAACCGTTCCGGCAGGTATTGCTCTGTCGCCGAAACTGTATGAGCTCAAACTTTTTAATAACCGGCTTACCGGAGAATTGCCCAAGGATCTCGGAAAGAATTCCAAGTTGGTAACCTTCGATGCTTCGCAGAATAACTTTTCCGGTGAAATTCCAGCGAACTTGTGTGCCATGGGGGCGCTAGAACAGCTCCTGTTGATCCAGAATTCGTTATCCGGAAAAATTCCAGAGAGCCTTGGTCAATGCCAAAGCTTGCGTAGAGTTCGTTTGTCGAATAACAAGTTATCCGGTGAAGTTCCGGCGGCGTTTTGGGGTCTACCTCATGTCTCTTTGCTTGAGCTTGCTGAAAATGCCTTTTCTGGTAGCATCTCTAAGACGATCTCCGGTGCTTCTAATCTTTCACTTCTGCTCATATCAGACAATCAGTTCACTGGAAACATACCGGAAGAGATTGGATCGTTGGGGAATCTTGTTGAGTTTTCTGGTGGATATAATCTACTTTCCGGAAGTCTACCTGCGACGTTGGTGAAGCTGAGTGAGCTGAGCACGCTCGATCTTCACAATAACAAACTATCAGGTGAGCTTCCATCTGGAATCCAGTCAATGAAGAAGCTCAGTGAGCTGAACCTCTCTAACAATGGGCTTTCCGGAGAAATTCCAAAGGAACTTGGGAGCCTACTGGTGCTTAATTACCTCGATCTCTCCGGAAATCATTTCTCGGGTGAGATCCCACTTGAGTTACAGAACTTGAGGCTTAATCGATTCAATTTTTCTAACAACCAACTCTCCGGTGATCTTCCCCCTCTCTATGCCAAAGAAGCGTACAAAGATAGCTTCCTTGGCAATCCTGGTTTGTGCGACGATCTGGAAGGTCTGTGCCCGAGACAAAGTGGGGATAAAAACCAGGGTTTTATGTGGCTGCTGAGGTCAATCTTTATACTTGCTGCTCTGGTTTTTGTTGTTGGGGTTGCCTGGTTTTTCTGGAAGTACAAAAATTACAGGAAAGCAAAGAATACCATTGATAAATCAAAGTGGACGTTGACGTCCTTCCACAAACTGGGCTTCAGTGAATATGAGATATTGGATTGCCTAGATGAAGATAACGTGATTGGCAGTGGAGCTTCTGGGAAGGTCTACAAGGCTGTACTCAGCAATGGGGAGATAGTTGCTGTGAAGAAGCTTTGGGGTGGATCGAAGAAAGAAGATGATAGTTGCGATGCTGAGAAAGGTCGGATGACGGATGATGCGTTTGAGGCTGAAGTTGAGACTCTCGGAAAGATCAGGCACAAGAACATTGTCAAATTATGGTGCAGCTGCACAACCCGGGATTGCAAGCTTCTGGTGTATGAATACATGCCCAACGGGAGCTTGGGAGACTTGCTGCACAGTAGTAAGGGAGGCTTGTTGGATTGGCCGACAAGATACAAGATTGCCGTGGATGCTGCCGAAGGCCTTTCTTATCTTCATCACGACTGTGTTCCTCCAATTGTTCACCGAGATGTCAAATCAAACAACATCTTGTTGGACAGGGAGTTTGGGGCTCGAGTGGCAGATTTTGGAGTTGCCAAGGTTGTGGACATGGTAGAGAAAGGACCCAAGTCCATGTCTGTGATTGCTGGTTCTTGCGGCTACATTGCTCCAGGTTTCTCAAAATCCATAACTAGCTCCTTCAATAATCATGAACCAAATTACTATATGCCTTTTTCCTGTTTGTGTAAAGTTGTAGGTTTGTTTTCATTCTGGGTAGATTTGCAGGAATTATGATTACCATCACCTGTAGTTTCTTAAGTCAACTAGTCTTTCTCGGTAGATTTAGTTCTTTCTTCCACTGTTGCTTGATTTGAAAACTTTCCCAATAGCTAGCTGCCGGGAAGTTTGGAGTTGATTTGATTGTTTCTTTCTCTTTAGCTTGTTCACATTTTTTCTAGCTCAAATTTTTAAATAATCTGTTGTTTTTGATGTTGAACTTGGTGCAGAATATGCATACACGCTTCGTGTGAACGAGAAGAGCGACATATACAGCTTTGGAGTGGTTATTCTAGAGTTGGTTACAGGGAGACTCCCAGTTGATCCTGAGTTTGGGGAGAAGGATTTGGTGAAGTGGGTTTGCACCACGATGGATCAGAAAGGAGTTGAACATGTAATTGATCCGAAAGTTGACCTCTGTTTCAAGGAAGAGATTTCTAAGGTCCTTAGTATTGGTCTCCTTTGCACTAGCCATCTCCCCATTAACCGACCCTCAATGCGAAGAGTGGTGAAGATGCTGCAGGAAGTGAGTGCAGAGAACAAGCCCAAGACTGGAAAGAAGGATGGAAAGCTATCTCCTTATTACTATGAAGATATCTCCGATCATGGAAGTGTAGTTTGACAACTTATTAGAGAAAGGTTTTGTATGGACAATGTCCCAGGGAAAAGCGAGTAAGAAAGCTGCTTTTCTTCTTGTTTCTATACTAATTTCTAAGCTCCTCCTGCTGTTTGTTTCATGGGGAGGGAAAGGACTCAGAGAGAGAGAGATAGAGAGAGAGAGAGAGAGAGGAGCAAAGGAGTTGGTGGTGCGGTTTGTATAATTCCTACTGTAAATTAATTAACCCCCTCAAAGTTTTCAGTGACAGGCTTTGAGAAAGCTAGTAATGGTAACTTGGTAAGACGTCCTAGCAAAAGAAGGGGAGGACTGGTTTCTTGTTAATCTTTTGGGATGCATTTGTGGTTGTATTAGTAATTGCAGTTAGTACTACTTGTAAGACTTGAACAAACATCTGCATGGTTTGTCTTTTCTTCTCTCAAACGAAATTACAAGGAAGATTAAATGCTCTGTCTACGATCCTCCTCTCTGCTATTTCACTGAAATTTTGACCATGTATCCCCACACCCATGTGGCATTAGAGTTAGAGAGCCATCCTCCATTAATGAAAGCAGTTGGGATTTTCTTGATCATTCATGGCACTTACTATTGAGCAAAGGAACTCCTTGCTACTGTGCACAGTACATTTTACGCTCTGTACCCACTGGTCACTAGTAAATTTCTGGGAAGCTTCAAAAGATAAAAAAAGAAAAAAACTTCGCAAAATTGTTCAATGAATTTCCAAACTGCGCACTACAAAGAATGCTTCCTGTTAAGCATTTATAGTAGTTACCAGTAACTGTTCTATAATGAAATATGCCCCACCCCCATGGTTGGCCGGGAGGTTGAAAGATTTTATGAACAAGCTTTTTTGTGCAATGTCACAATTAATAATGAGTTCAAAATTTGAAGTTTCTGACTTTCTGGTTCTGATCCGAAGAAATGAAATGCCCTTAAAACAGGGGAACCTAGGGAACAAGCCTATTCTGCAACTCATAATTTCTGATGATGACCCAGAACTTAGCCCACAAAAAATTTAATATCAGCTTGCAGACCAGACGAGGGGAAGGATGATAAAATTTTATGACTTCGTCATCAAAGCCCTGACCTAACCAAGATTGACTGTCGCTCCAAGATTGAATTTGCATTGCTTGTAATCACTGACATTTGGCTGGGTATCATAATCATCTCCATCGATTCATCAATAAATTACAAGACAATGACTCTTGGAAGGGCGGGAGAACACCTTACCACCGAGCTGTCAACAAGGATGCACGCGACGATGAAGAATGGTGCCAGGAAAGGAATTACTCAAAAAAGTGGAGAGATGGTATGGTCGTCGGTCAAGACTGAGAAAAGTGATGAAATGATGCTGGGGCGGTGGTGCCTTGCCCATGTAGAAAACCATTTTCACCATTTTTTGTGGCGAGAAGGTAATCCAAGCATCCATATCAACTCAGGCAGCAATGTCCAACCAGACTCCGGACACCAGAATTTAATGTCAAAGACGAGTCTGCACTCTCCAGCCTCCACCATCGTAGCAGTAGAGGATGCTTTTCCTTAGGACCTCGCTTGGGGTTGTCTGTACTCTGTAGAATTGAATGGTGGGGACCGGCTTTAGGTCTAGATGAGGTGGACTTTAATGGAAAATAGATTATTTAGCTGGTGCAGGCTCAATTCATTTCAAAGTTCAAACAGACCGTTTCATCTGTCTGGACTGGGTTTTGACCATGATTCTTTTGAAAAATTATTATGAGTAATCACGGGGCTATTAATAATAAGGATTACATAAATATGGTCTAACAATTCTGATGTAGTCCTAGTGCATGTTCTTCATCAGATTCCTCCCTTTTACCCCATTGGCCGTCATTTGTTCCAAATGTTCAGTTTGGAAAGTGTAAGAATACAAAACCTTATATTTTATATTATTTCATGTACATTTGCATTGTACATATTTGTACTTGTGTTCTTTCCAAACTGAGCTAAAAGACTTTTTATTTCAATGGCTAGACGCAGGATTGTTTCTGTTAAAGAAGGTTGGGCCTGGTTTGAATTGTGGTAGACCCGGCCCAGAACCCCACCCTGCTATTAGTTGGGTTTATTTGGTCTGATCTTATAAGATCCTATTACAAATATCAGGGTGTCTCTTTGGTTCTCTTTTCTCCAAATATGTTTTTTTATTTCTATACCACTTGGAAAATTAGGACAAATTCAGAGAAGTTATTTGATGTTATGAAATATTAACTATGAGAACCATGTAAAAGTAGGAACATTTCTGTCATGTTATATTAGCACACTACATCTATCAGATAAAACTAAAAAAAGCTTTGGTGTGAACTAGAGCGCCATGCAGGGAGAACTCTGTCGACAGCCCAGGCTGTAGAACTTGGACAGCCAAAATTTCCTGATAAATAGTTCAATCAAGGCGCAAAATGTCAATACTCTCTAATATGGGTGTATGATACTTTAAATATTGCGTTTTTTTTTTTTCAAAATTTCATCTTGGGCCTATTTTTATGTGTTTTTATTATTAGAAAGAATTTTTAAAAAACACCTTCAAATAGGTGTATCAAAACTAAAAAAGATACATACAATACGTCCGATACGGAACATATTGTATCTAAATTTTGAACCTTGATCCACTTTTGACAGCCTGGGCTATAAAACAGGGCTCTCCTCGCATGATGTGTTAGTATGCCCTGCAATGCATCTAGTATGATATTGTTACAAGAAGAGTGTGAACTCAACTAACATGTCATGTAGGGTGAGCTCTATTGACAGACTAAGCTCTCAAATATAGATAGCATAAATTTTCACTTTCGACAGCCTTCTCAATTCGCATGATATAAAGAAATCGTGTATCCTGTCTTTCTAATGGTGGATTAATTTGTTACTTTTATGTATTTTTTTTTCAGCCTGATAGACAGCTAAGGATGAATACTAACATCTGAAACTATATATTAAAATCATCAAAACTCTCAGTATTTATCATATCCATGACCTTCATACCAATACAATATATACAATATAATGTGATACATATCAATACTTTAAGCCTTGACCTAAGCCATAAATAGGATTCTCCTCACATGATACTAATATAAGGAGTATGTGAATTAAATCAATGTTTTAAAAACTAATCTAGAGGCTGAATTATTTTTGCCTTTGGGTTGCAGGTCACTGGTTCGATAGTCTGAATTATACCATGCCATGTCGGCAATATGTAAATTCATACATATACTACTCAGGACTCATGCGATGCGCATGCTTTATTTAATAGCAAAATTGAAGATGGATGGAATTTCCAATTAAATGGTGTCTATCTAAGTTCAATTTAAGTATTATTTTTTGGGGTTATGTTTAGTTTATCCGATCACAATCTAAGTTTCATTTTAGTGAGAGTGGCCAATTTCCTATTCTCTAAATAAATAAATTTATATTTATTTTTTTGTAACTTAATGCTAATTTTTATTATTTTTTTTGAAAAAGATTTTGTATTAATTTTTATTGGTTTATTATTATTTTTGTATTACTTTTAGGTAAAATTATAAAAGAAAAACTCTTATAACAATTCTATAAACTACCTTTGTGTTTTGACCTAATGCCTCCCCTATAGTTTTGAGAAAAAAAGTGTAAATACCTCATTTTCCTTGACTCTTCGGTAACAAAGACATTGAAGTTATCAAAGTACCCTTATCATTATTAATGCATTATCATATATAACTTAAAATTTCAACTTTACCCTCTACTAACTTATTTTTCTATACACTTTTCAATGAATAATTCTCCTTACTCTTGTTGGACAAATGAAAAAAGGTTGAAGTGAAGTAAAATTAATGCATTACATCAACATTTAGTAAAATTTAAGTATATTAAGTTTTTATTGAATTAAAATTCCTTGTGAAATTTAATTAATTATATAACTTTTTTGCTTTTAGTGGAACTTAAACTAGTTTTAAATTAATAAAATTTAATTATAGAACTAATAATTGTTAGATAATTTCGTATTATTTTTATATTAATTTTAAATTGGTATTCATTTTTAATTTATCTTATCCATTTTATTAATTAAATTTTTTTATAGTAGTAATAAAAATATGTTATCAATAACAACAATTAATAACTATTTTTATTTTATTTGAGTAAATTACTAAATTATTTTTTATTATGGTTAACTATTTTTTATTATTTTCAAATGGAATATAAATGGACTATATATATATATATATATATATCTTATGCAATTTAATGGAGTAATGGAGATGAGAGAATTAGTGGCATGAGTTTTTGAGAGAGAGAGAGAGAGATTTTAAAATTAGAAAATAAAAAAAAAACAGAAAAAAAGATAGGTACCTTTGAGAAGAAACCAGTTAATTGCCTTTGAGAATGACAGATCAGGAAATTGCTAGATTGGCACATTGCATTATATATATTCTAATGTAATATATGTTATTTTATATTAATTATTCTTTTTAAATAAAAAAATATTAAAAATTATGATTTAAGGGAAAAAATGTTTTTTTTTACTAAAATAGCAGGGCATAGATACAATGCCTTTTGATGCATAGATTTCAAAATAATTACTCATAATAAAAAAAATCACCTCGATCAAACATTGGAATACAAAGTTATGGCCTCCCAAAGTTTGTATATACATTTACTGTAAACCCATGACTCAATCACTAGGTTGAACAATTGAACTGGCTGGATCAATGGCAGATTGAAAACACTGGCTAACATTGGGCGATCCACATTATCAGCCCATGCTGTCAAATTTAGGCAGCAGAAGTTTTCCCTCAACTCCCTATTCAATTACAGAGGCAGGATTACAACTAAGACCAAGAAACAGTCTGATTTATGGGATACTATACCAGTTGGTTCGTCTGTGTCAGGTTGAACTAGTTAACTAAAAGGTCTATAATATGTGTTCTGGGTCAAGATGGCGTCCTTAAGCCAAAGGTTTTGGATAAAGGGTTTTTGTTCACTTGGGCTCCTTTTGCTTCAATTTCGCTTAACAAAGGACGTAATGACTGATAAAACGAGATAAAAACTAAGATGAGAATCGATACATCTTAATTCTTCAACAAAGAACTTAATGCATTCTATGTTCCAAAGATGTCAATGCCTTACAAGTTGAGATTTAAGTTCAATAGTAAGCCATGGAAGGACAACAACTTCAATTGTCATCCTAAGACGCATTCTTTTGTGGTGGTTGATGATCTGGAGTCGAAAGTTGTTATGACAAGGATGAAGGTACCAGCCATTTGGACTTTTGAGATACCTTCTGACATGCCAATTCATTATTCATGTCTATCATTGGGCACATAGTGAACTCTACTTCAATAAGTCTTATATTTAGGGGTGTCAATGGACGGGTTTAAAATTAGACTCCGTTCAAATCAAAGTCAATTTGGACGAATTGGATGGACCAATATGATTTATTGAATTGAAGCAATTCAGCCTTAATGGTTTAAA